GGACTGTGCTGATATTGTTTTAGTAGAGATGTGGGGGGGAAGAGCAGTAAGAAACAAAACCAATTCCAAAAAGGAGCACAACAGCAAAGGATACTCTGAATAAGCACTTGGAATGTGGCCCACAGAGAAGCTCTGGGAGCTTCTTGGCTAAGTGCTGTCTGTCTGCAGGAGAATCTGACAAGATGCTGTTCTTGCTGTTTGATTCTTGCTGTGTTCAACAAAACAAGACTTGGTACGCTCGTGGTAAATAAATAGAATTATATCCAAGAAATGCCTGATTCTATTGCTAATATAGCCCCCTAATGTGAAAAACTCATAAAATACAACATTTTGAGGCATTACTCAGGTCAAAATGGTCTCTGGAGTGCCTAGCACAATGGAGCCTATTCCCACTACTGCAATAAAAGTGATTAATAATAATTCAATTTATTCTTTGTTCTCTGTCATAAATTCTAAAATGCCGCCAGCAGCCAAGAAAAATATTTTAGTACTGCTACCCCTATGACCCTATAAAATAGTGCTGTCTTGGGAACACAAGGTAGCAGAGGAGAAATAAAAATGCCTAATATGTGTTGCAAGTATTCCAGCTGAAAATTCTGCAACAACTGTTGGTTGGGGGGGGGTTGAGAGATCACAGATGAATTTGTTTTTGTACTAAGGAAGAAAATTAAGATGTCTTATTTTACATGTAAGCATGGAGGCTACCGTTCATAATTTTCAGGACAACCATATACAATACCTGTATTGCTCCCTTTCATCAGCCTCTCAGTTTTAGAATTACCCATCAAGATAGGCAATCATTAATCATCCCTAAAGCTGTAATGTAGGCATATGACACCAATGAGCAGCGTAATTGTATTTGGAGTATACAGGTATTACAGGGTCTTATAATCCCTGAAAAAGAAACAGATCTCTCCATCCGTGTTGTTTCTTTCAGGCAAGGTGGTCCAGGTTGATTTTCAGTTCATTTTGCAGCTTACATCTGGAAAAGCAGTCCCATGTGTGAACTAATTTGAACTGGAACAGCAGGCAGGACAAATCAGTCCTTTTACTCGCTAAACCAAGGGTGTCAAACTCATCCAGCCCCACAGGCCTGATGAAGGGTGCTTGGTCAGTCTGTGGGTTGGATTGGGTCCACAAACTGGCCTCGTGTGCCAGCTGCAGCCTACAGGGACACCCTGTACAGGTACTTTGGACTAGTCCATGTATTGCATGCAGCACGCAGCATGCGGGGCTCATTTGGGGGTGTATTACACATGGTATGTGGGTGCATGCTGCATACAGTGCCTGCGCCAGCCTGGCCCAAAATGTTGGATCTGGCATGCGTGGCTGGTCTGTGGGAGTGATCCAGCCTGGCTCTTGATCTATAAAGCAAGGCCACTCTGGCATGGGCGCTGCATGCAGCTCAAGCCCCAGACTGGTTTCAGGAGCTGTGCAGCATGTCAGCTCCAGCACCCACTTCATGTGCAGCCCACACCAAATGGGCTTTGTATATGCCATGTAGTGTGAGGGGCTGGGGTCAGCACATGCTGCCTGTGCCGAGCAGGTCAGAGGCCTGTGGGTGTGGTGGGGGAAAACTCCCTGGGGTTCATTGTCTAGCTGCACAGGAACCAGACAACCACGGGTAAAGGTTTACTGCAGTATATTTGCTCGAGCAATGACCATTAAGCCAGTAAAGAGGCAAAATGGCCCCCCCTCAAGGGTGAGGCAATCTTTTATACTTTTTACAACAAGGCAAGACTATAGGGTTAACAAAAGCAATACTTGGGCGGTGCTTTACAAATCTTTATAACAGCATATTTCTATTGAGCTGAACTAGCACTTTTTAAAAGCTAAAAGTTAAGTAACAGTAACATTATGATACCTTAGCAAGAACTTGCAGTAGTAGATACTTCTTAAGGACACGATCACTGTACTTAGAACAATGGCTTCTTTGTCTTATCTTGTTCCTTGCTGTAGCTGATTTTACAGCACACAGACACAGATTCACTTGCTGCATTTTACTCAGAAAATGCTTAACACAGTTAAAACGATTACTTGACACAAGCAAAGGCTTAGCTATCATTCTGCCTCGTGGTCAGCGGCATTGCTAGGCCACAGGTCATGCCTTGTATTCAGCTGCAAAGCTAATACTTCTTAATAATCCAAATTATTGTTAACCTAACAGTATGCTATCAGAAAACTATTCTATTTCAGGGTAATAACAAACATGTTCACTACATGGGCAGCACTGCAGGCTGGATGATAGGGCTCTGTGGGCTAGATCTTGCCCTGAGTAACTGTGAGGAAACTGACATGGATGAAGGACTAGCCAGCAAGCATAGATGAAATGCGTTAATAACCTGTGGTTATTATTTGGGTTGTGAGTTTATGATGGTGCCCTGCACTCATTGCAAAGCAGCTTGCGCAGGCATGTAGGGCAGAGGACAGCGCTCCTGACAGCTGGTGCAAGGCAGTGAACCACCCCGCTGCAGGTTGATTACCCCTCAGCTTATTTCTTGACCAGTGCTAGCAAGCGCCTGACCTGGGAGTTGCTGGGGGCGTCAAGCCCGTGACACACATTCAGTCATGGGCTGTGTACTGGGACAGGCAAGTGCTTGCACAGGCGTAGGGTTACCATATTTTCAGGATCAAAAAAGAGGACCTGGGTGAGGGGGGAGGGGAGCCAGGGGGAGGGAGGGGCATATGATTGTTGCGGGGGACAGTGGTATGGCTGCGCCCAGCCTCGGCCCCTCACTCTTGAGCCCCTGGGATCCTGGTTTTCTCTGATAAAGAAATCCCCCAATTTTTGGATTTAAAAAAAGTAACCCAAAATCCACATTTTTCCATAATTAAAATGAAACACCACTATCTATATATTTAATATATTAATGGTCTCATTTTGATTACGGAAAAATCTGGATTTCGGGTTACTTTCTGAAATCCGAAAATTGGGGATTTTTTTTTATCAGAGGAAAAAAAGCGAGATCCTGCTGATATCCCTCACGGGGGCAGGACGCCCTCCGCATGCTCCGTGCGGTTGCACAGCGGGCGCGGCCCGCGCAACGCCCCCTGTCGCTGGCGCGGAACCCAAGCCGAACATCAGGGCGACGTCACTGCTCCGGGGCCTCGCGAGATCTCGCTGGGCTGCGAGAAGAGCGCGGCGCCGTTGCTCCTTGACCCGCCGCGTGCGTAGCGCATGCGTAAGGCCTGTCTCCGAGGGGTCGCGGGAGGCGCCATTTTGGGCCTGGTCAAGTCGGGAGGAGGGAGCGCCGGGCGCTCGGGGTGTCCGCACGGGGCCGGAACCGGCGTCCGAGGCACCGACCCGCGGAGTCGGGGCCCCGCCCCTCCGCCCGCAGCGCCGAGCCCCCAG